ATATATATATATATATATATATATATATATATATACACACTAGAATGGTACTCGTGCAATACAGCGATATACATATATTTTTTAATATTTCGTTTTATTTTTTGTCTATTGATATAATATGGTTTATGTGGTTTTGAGAAAGATAATGTTTTTACTTTTGAATAAAAATAAATTTGAAAAAAATATAACGATATTAATATCAAATTAACTATTTAAAAGTTATTGTTTTTTTATATAATTTATTTAATTCATTTTTTATTATAATTTAATTTAGATCAAATAGTGATGTAATTTATTTTTGGCTTAACAATAAATTTTTTATAAAGATAATGATTCTGTTAGAACTCGATAATTATCCTAATTATATTTTAAATTTTTTATATTTTAAAATGAGATGTTTATCTTCTATCTGATTATGTTGATCCGCAGGTGGTTACACGAATTCAAACATGAAGCTTTTTTAATAAGTTATACTTATACATAATTTACTTGTAGTCTTGAATTTTAAGTAATATGCATAAAAAATGGTTTTTAAGAGTTTTTGTCAAATTACAAAATTTAAAAGAATAATTGGAATATTTTGTCAAATGTCTTTAAAAAAAAAAAGTTTTTGTCAAATGCTTTATAATATAGTATATATATATATATATAACATAATGTTTTAGATTTTTATGATTATATTATTTAATAGTTTTTTTTAATTTTAATTACATCAACCAACATAAATGATTAAAAAATAGGATAAAAGATTAAAGATAAAAAAAAATTAATTAAGAAAATGCTATCTATATTATTCATTATCGATAGATAAAACAGAAAATTTCTAAATGACGTGAGGTACAGTATAGCGACGAAGCTAAATCTAAAGCCTCAGAAGACACGACAAGGTCATGGCGTATTTCAAAGCTTGACTAACGTCGATAAATCTCTATATCATATATAATATTATATGCATAAACATATTTTTTATAACCATTATTCAATAAGTCAATAGTAAAAAAATGTAAGAAAAATCAAATATCAGGTTAAAAAATTTGCGCATTAAATAATTACATGCCACAGGCTTAACGTGACGTAAGACACAAGTCTTGAGCCATGATGACTGTCACGACAAGTCATGACAAAACAATGCATAAAAGTGACAAATGATATAATAACTTTCCTAGAAAAATTATTTAACAAAATAATCGACAAATATAGTTTATCAAAAAGACAATTAATTTGTTATTTTAAATAATATTTAATAATAATAAAATAAGAAAACCCTTACAAATCAATAGCAATTAATTTCAATAAAATGTAGTAAATAAGGATGGATGAATTAATACAATTCTTCTGGTCATGTCTTTTCCTTTTTTTGGGTTCGTAGAGTCGGGTTTCCCGTTTACCCACAACGGGGGATAATCATTCTGGTCCATCGGCTCGGTGGCAAAAAGGCCTGTGTAAAAGTAAATACCATCTCGTTAAGGACATTTTCGGGCCGTTTACCAAACACTTATCTAAGTAAGTGCTTACAAGTCATGTTACCTCACCGGATGAATATGGTARAGACAAAAAATCTTACCCGGTAAGAGCGAGACAAGAACCATGAATCTTACCCGGTAAGTGAGGCCGACGACTCTTACCACGGTAAGCGCTTACCAGGTAAATTGTTGCATACGATTTCGTTTTGGTGGACTAAAATCTTACCCGGTACGTAAATAATAGTGTTAGATTTTACCGGTAAGCACTTACCGGGTAAGTGTTTGATAAACAACCCCTTTCCCAGTCTCGAAATGTCGGCATATTCGGTCATTTTAAATTGAATATATTTAGTAATTTTCCTTAAATATTTTGGATTAAATAATAAAATATAGAAACAAATACATTTAAAATATTAAAATATTTGTTTGTTGCATTAAATAAAATAGTAATGAAAATAATTGGAAAACACAAAATTCCCTAAATGTGATTGTGAGGAGGCAAATCTCTAAAGCCATCCCAAAGCCATCCCTTTCTTCCACCCTTCAAGATTTCTTGAATACAAAGCTTAGAACCCTAATTTTGACTATATAAACTATGCATCTTACTTTAAATCTATATGAATCAATAACACACACACAAAAAACACTGAAATCAAGGATTCTTGAATTTCATACGATCTGTATAAATATGCCGATATATTCGTCTTCTGAATTGGAAGACTCTGGTGATCACAAAGTTCCATCCATCAAATTGTTCCGTCGTGACAGACCGTTACATTCTGTACTTGGCGGAGGACATGGTATCTTTTCAGGAAAAAAAAACTCGTTGTTTAAAGATTTTGAACCATGATCACACGATGTTCATTTTTTTCAGTGTTCGTAAGAATAAAATACTTGATACAACTGTTGTACCTTGTTGTTTTGTTAATATCTTATAATTAAGCAGCTGCGTAGGTATCTTTTGACATGAAATTTGATTTATGTTCAGTTGCGGACTTACTTCTATGGAGGAATAAAAGCTTATCAGCAGCGATTCTACTCGGGGTTACGATGATATGGTTTCTTTTTGAAGTCGTTGAGTACAACTTTGTTTCTCTTATATGTCACATCTCGATCCTTGTCATGTTGATGGTCTTCATTGTCTATACAATGGCAAAATTTGCCGATTGGTAATTTTTTTTAACGTAATATCTAATTCTCATTTTCGTTCGAATTGCTTTTTTCAAATGAAACAAAAAAAGAGAGAAATAATATGTTTTGATACACCAGGGATCTTCCAGATATCCACGAGATAACGATACAAGAATCCGCATTCAAATGGTTATACAGAAAAATAAACTGGCTCTTACTTCGATTCTATGAGATCTCAAGTGGGGAAAACTTCATTGAATTTTTCCTGGTACACATATATAAATATACGTAATTATGCTAAAATCACTCGCAGAAGAAGATATGAAATAAACTATAATATTTTTGTAGGTGATCGCGTCGTTGTGGATAACTTCAGTTATTGGGAGTTATTTCAGTTCTTTGAACCTCTTGTTCTTTTGTAAGTTTCATTTTTTTTTTCCAAAGACTTGTATCCACAAAAACAAGAACGGAAGTCAATTTTATTGTTAAACGGTATATTTTATTACAGGTGTGATTTGCCTCGGAACTTTACCCGCATTGTATGAACAATACGAGAAGGAGGTTGATCATCTAATAAGCAAAGGGGTCAGAGATGCGAAGAAGGCTTTCAAGAAATTTGACGCCCAAGTCTTGAGCAAGATACCACGAGGACATGTTAAGGAGAAGAAACGCAAATAAATGTTAAAAACTTCGTTAACTTTAATTAGTTTACGAGGGCATGCACGCTTGTACACACATCAACAAATATCATAATGTCTAAGTTTAAGATCGTATATTATTCATATGTGAATATAAGATACAAACTTATTGAAATCAATCGACGTTAAAAAAAATTCTCTTTGCATATTGTACTTCCATTGTTTCTTAGTGAAAATCACAAAATTCGTCAAATAGCCGCTTTTTAGCATATTTAAAATATGTCAAAGAATCCACAAATTGGCTTAGCATATATTTATTATTAATATACGGGTTACGCCAAGCCATATATTCAATCATATATGCACATGCATATAAGTAGTTATGAAAAAAGAAAAAATTATTAACCTGAATATCTAACCCGCTATGCGAGCCGACTAATCCCAGGACGACCACCTGCTTTGCAGATAACCTGGAGTCACCGCATTTGAACCTCCGTGACCACAAGGGGATTTTTATTTCTCCTTGGATTTGAACCTGGGGCTGGGACCTCCTGGTACTTTTGACCTTTAGAGCCAAGCTCAAACCACCCATGTGGTTGTAAACTTGTAATTATGAAATATTTAATAACCCTTTATCTGTAGTTCTGTACCATATACACATATCCATACAAGTAATTTGTCTTGTATGCACATGTATATAAAAATCAAAAAACATTTTAAACTTTTATGCACATGTACATATCGTATAGATGAAAGGTTGTTAAACCGTTCCTATTTTCCACTTTTTGAGAGTTTTTCTCCGAATCTAACTCGATCTTTATATGGCGCAAATAAACTCAATATTTATATGGCGCAAAAGTTTTGAACCTCAAACCTCCAAAAAGGTAAGGTTACCAGATACCGCTGTAAATTGTTTCTGCTTTTTTTTTTTTTTTGGGTAAAGGGGACGGAACCCCGGAAAAACTTTATTCAAAAATAAACAAGACAAGCTACGAGGGGCATACCCCAAGAAACAAAAAAAACTAAGTGCCTTCCAAGAAAATGTTTAGGAAGGACACTTAAAAGAGGACTAGTTCTAGAAACCAAAATAGTAATGTCAAGCCAACAAACCCAGGCGAAGATACAATCCAAAAAATAAATGGAAGAGTAAGCCCAATACAAGAAATTAGGCTTAACCAACCAGCTACCACCAACATCCGTATCACAGAAAACAGTGTAGCCCTCAAAAGACTTCTCCTTCCGGTCCAAATCCACAAGCCCAATCAAGATAGTGGACCACCAAGAAAAGGAATAGGTAGCCCATTCTAAGGTTAACTTGAAGCCCAAAAAACTGCCCAACATAAAGTTGGTAAACTCCTTCCAATCCATACCCACATGTCCAATAAGAGCAATGGGTCTCCAATAATTAAAATAAGTAGCCCAACTACCAATCTTCTTGAAGCCCAAAATGAATCTAATCGCATTCAAAGCCCAGCCCATCTCTAAAGACTTGGAGATACCCAAATTGCTCTTGATATTAACCGAGTATACACCGTAACCAGACTCCTTACATCGAGATTCCACAAACAGCTCTCGATCATCCAAACCTTCATCGTGAACACAATCCCATTTCGATTGAAGCTCCATGTAACAGCGCAGATCATTCTCGTCTTCATCAGGGATGATCCCTCCCGCTCCCTCCTCCGTCACACACACAACACAGCCTCTAGGGTTTCGAATGAGGTTGTCATGAAGATTGAACAATTGACCAAACCACAAGGAAAATGAAGAAATCAAGCCATCCCGTTGATTAAAAAGATCAATAATGGCATGAAATTCAGATTCTATATGAAAACACATCGCGAATGGGCAAGGTCTGATCGAACGCACAGGCGACACTTCACCATCGGACTTGTCCTCACTAGCACAAAAAAACCACTGCCTTTTTGAAAAATGCCATTGAGTGCTGCTCCCATTAACAGAAACACGAAGGTCACAGTACACAATAGCCACATTAGCATAAAGCCAACACCTTTTTCCAAATAGATTCGCAGCAACCCCAGGTTGCTTGAGGAATTGAGCATTTAAATTTCCTCTATGTCTTTGTCTGTTAATTTGATTCCAGTGAAATGGAAACCAAACATCATCTGTAAAAACATGGCATTTGAAGATGCAGCATAGGGTAGATGGTTGCTGCATCAATTGGCCACATATTTTCCTGCATCTTTGAGATAGGTCCCAACCATTAGGCATACCATCATAGGAAAAGATTCTAAAATTGCATCCAGCCAGAGAACAAGAGTGTCTGCTAACATGAATCCATTGATGCAAATTAGAGGGATCAACTTTATGAGACACAGAAAGCTGAGAAAGGCAAAATCTTGGGGAAATCCAAGATAGCAGACCAAAATGAATAGGAAAGAGGCAAATGTTTGGGCCAAAGACAATGGACCAAACAGAGAGAAAGGGCAGGAAACCTCTAAATACAGGAATGATATGCCCAATATGCCAAAACACCCAGAAAAAAGCCAAATCAAAAGGAGAATCAAAAAGGTATTTTCCTTTAAATTTGGAGACACCAAATGACTTAAAATCACCCATCCCCTTCAACCAAAATATGTATCTCATCATATAATCCAAGCTATACATAGTGACAAGAGGGATAAAACCAAATAACCAACCCTCTAATAAACCATACAGCAACAACAAGCTGCCCCTGTACACCTGGTAATGGAATTCCCAAATAATCAGCCTATCCTCCCAACGAACCTCCTTATATCTCCCATACAAGATCAAAAACATACCTAACTCCTCTACCCTACACCCCCTTATATCCACAGCCCAATTCCCAAACCCAAGAACCCCATGAATAGAAAGAAGAATATACCAGCACTTCTTAATGCAATCCCTTCCCCCGTTTCTGCTTTTTCTTACAAGTATAGTTTAAAAACAACACTTTGGAGCATAAAAGTAGTTATAATTTATAAAAGGCAACAAATTTTGGCATGAATTATGATACAACGCCTTGATATAACTTTCATTCACAGGCTATCTACATTTCGGCGACTTCATACATCGAAACCGACATTAAAGAAACGGTCACATCTTGTCATGGTGACTTAGAAACTGGACCACACATGGATACACTTCATCCACCACCTGCATTCAAACCATTTTTACAGAGATTATGTTTATGTGACCGAAAAAACTACATATAGTACTCGAGGAAGATTGAAATAGGGGAATACCAATCGGCCCCCAACCAAATCATAATGGGCGTAATGTGGGCCGCCTGCTTTACCAAAAACTTTATATGTCACCAAGTTTTCGGGAATCAGCTTCACTGTGTCTGTTCATTCAATCAATACAACATTATTGACGTTATTTGTTTGTCGGAAACTTATGACCTTGAAGAGGGCTGAAGGGATTGTAAGAGTATACTCCCTCCGTCCTAAAACAAGTGTCAACAATAGACGTGGTACACAGTTTTAGACATGAATAATCATTACACTTTTTAGTTTAGAAATGACGACTTTGCCCTTAAATTATTGTATATATCCTATCCATCTCTTAAATATTAGTACATTAATTAAGGGTATATTTGGAAATCTAGTTATCTATTTTTGAAAGTAGACACTTATTTTGGGACGGAGGGAGTAATAATGCTCTAAAATTAGAAATGGGGAACGTCCTACTTCAATACATACCCTGTACCGCTTCAGGGGGACAAATTGCATCTTGATCACCAGCAACAGCCAAGACGGGGATATTGATTTTGTGAATATGATCCTTGTAGAAAAATACCCCACTTCGATCACACAGACCACCCTCACGAAAGGCAGATGCCAGCTGCAGCAACAGTTTAGCAGGTATGGTGCCTGCCAGAAGTTAAACCCTTATAAATCCCCTAAAAGACATGCATCCATACCATAAAGAATGTATTCAAATGCTATATTGAAGATTATACTTGCATAGGGTTCACACATATTTCCCAAGTTGCATTCTTCCTGTTTTGGCAAAAAGTTGATGTGATATAAAAGGCTGTATCTATGTCTGAATACAAAACTGTATTTCCTCCATGAAATTCTCACAAAAACAATTGTGGGACTTGTCTTGTGAGATCTTGTTTTCTGGAACTCATACATAGGCTAACTATTAAGATCATTTTTCCTTGTTCTAAACAAAGAGTATTTGAATCCTACCAAACGGGGTTATCCTTATCTGATTCTTGAACTAGGATCAAAGACTCTCCTATCCATTCGGGCATAAGTGGAAATTCCTTATCTATTCAGTCAGAGTTCTAATAGGATATAGGAATGCAACTTTGTCATATAATTATTCATCATTGAAAGAAAAGATAGATACAGTACTTACAAAAGTTGTTCAGGACGAGCTTTTTTAATAGGTCTGGATGCATCATGTCTTGTGCCGATATCATATGATTAAGCCAAGACAAAACATAAGGAGGACGAGATGTAAGAGGATAAGCAGCTGTTAGCAGTGCCCCTAAAGGAACAATAGGCACATTGAGGGCCTGTGCAGGATCAGCCTGGAAAATAAGTAAATAATAATAAGAATAATCAGGTTATATGTTATAGGCCCGGATAATATTGAAGATGGAAGGTGAAATAAGAAAGGTCCTTATATTAACTACCCCATCCGTCGCAAAATCAGAGCCCACGTTTCTATTTTAGTTTGTTCCAAAATAAAGGTCCACTTTTAAAAGTAACAGTCTACTTTCTAATTCGACCCTTAACTATAAAAACAGAGATTCATTACTCCCTCTATTATGAAGGGTACATCTGTCATTTAGTTGATTAAAAAGTGTAATAATTACATATTTCTAAAACTACGTGCCTTTTTCATCGTGAACATTTATTTTGGGACAGAGGGAAAGAAGTGGAAGGGATCTGATATGGACTACAAGAAATATTTTCTTACAAGTGGTATGAGTAACTTGAGTGATGATTCTGAAGATCTGTAGTCAAGTGAAGATGCCAAAGTAACAATCGCTGCAAATCCTGGTTCCTTCCCTTCGGAACCTTTATCATTTGAGAACTACAGAATTTTAGAATTGTCTTGGATTTCTATATCAACATACAAAAATCATATTGAAGTCAGATGCAACTTTACCAAGTCGTGATAGCATGGAATATAGTAAAATTCCCCCCATCGAGTGTCCAATAGCAAGCAATTTACCATCCTTCGGTTTAGTATGGGCCTTTATATATTCCATCTGTTGTTAAAAACAAGAACATCATTATATGTTATATGAAGATAAACCAAATTAAAATATATCTGCAGAGAAGGAAAATTCATCGTTAATTAGGTTCTCTGACATGGGAAAATGTCACCTCACCGCAGCAGGAACATCCTCTTCAAGGTAGTGATCAAAATCCCAATCATATTTGACGATCAAGTCCAACTGCTTCTGGAAATCTTCGATGGTTGTGGACAAACGCTCTTGCAGATCAAACAATGGAGGTGAAACAGTACGCTGACCTTCTTCAATGATACCGATTAGCTTTTGACTCAGATCCCTTATTTGGCTTGCAACAGCAGAGTTTTGCCTTACTTCCAACAAACTTAAAAGATTTTTCCTTATCTCATCAAACCGCTCTGCTAGAAAAGAATCTGCTACTAGTTTCGAGAATTGGTCAAATAATTTAGCAGAGATTATTCTCGATTGGCCTTCACTGAGAAAGCCAGATACTCTATCGGACAAGATTATAAAAGTTTCAGTTAACTTGGTGACTAGTACTGCATCCTCCCGTTCAGTTGTTGGTCCCGTTGGGTCTTGGTTAATCATAGCAACCCCTGTTTCTTTCGGGGAGCTTTCATTACTAGCTGACGACTGTGAAGTAGATAAAACTTTTTCTGCTCCAGAAACAGCAACAGCTTCCATCTGATCAGATATTGCATGGGCAGACTGTTCAATCTCTTTCGGATTTGATCCCTGCACGCTTAAGCCAGCTCCTCGAACCTCAAGAATCCATGTGTCAAATCCTTGTTCACACATGTAACGAGCAAACGAAAACTGCAAACGAACAATGTAATTATTCCCCTAGATGTTACAAAGAAATAGATGGCAGCTTTCTTTAAGCTTCTACCCGTTAAAAATATATAAACTAAAATAGAGCAATACTACACAAAAAAACGTTTAGCGTCATTTTTCAAGATGAGTTGCAAAAAGAAAGATCTGCAACTAGAACATTCGCAGGCAGAAAGTTGCTGGAAACTAGTTGTGTTTAATATGAAGCTAATCTATTACAAATTGAAATCCACATCTTAATTTTAGAAACAAAATTAAAGTTGCTAGTCTTTTAATCCACTAATTTCAGTTGTAATCAATTATTACTATTTTCCTTCATCACAAAGGAAAATGTTATCAGTATCTAAATAAGTATATTTCATTTGTCAATCAAGAGCCACAACAGACAGTTTTTAGGGACAGATGAAGGATAACTTTGAAAACAAAATGGTATAGTGGACACACATGACATGTAACATCTGTTTTTATCTTAAGAGGCCTTCGTTGTTTTGCATATAACAATATGTCTTATGTGTAATGTCTGTATATAAACATCTTATTTTCTAAGTAGTACGATCATATGTCCATTTCAGAAGAACCAGGGTTTCGAAGAGAATTTAAAGATATATTGGTGGCTTTTTTGGAGTATATTACAGTTATAGATTCTTCTCCCCTTTAAATTGTCATTCAATTCATATAAAAATTAGTAAAGGTTCTTCTTTCTTATCTGTAACACATCAAACTTCACCTGAAAAACGCAAAATTCATAAACCCTAGATTGTTAATTCTGTCTCTCTCAATTCAAAAACTCACGACTGCTACAAAAATTGCAATAAATGACTCATTAGCGGAAATAAGACATAAAATACCTAATACATAAGGAATCCACTGTGAATCTTTTTGAGGCAATCACATCCTAATTTTTTGCTCCAACTAGGTCAAAGTTAATGTTTCTTAAACTGACTTGTTCTTATATGAAAACTGAAATTACTTTCTGAAAGTGTATATGAGTTGGTTTCCAGTCTGATTGATATCACTTAGACTCTTTGAATTGGTTTCATATGAGTTGTTCATCTTATAGCTGTGTTTATTGTGGAAGAGTTTGCTTTATTGATTATCTTGTAAGCCATGTGAACGCTTTTTACCACAATAGCAAAGACTAAATGAGAAGGATGCGAACTCACCTCAGGCGAGAGATCATACCCGATCGCATTTGTCCCCACCCCTGATAACAGCAACAGCGGATGATTTCTTGGTTTCGCCTGCAATTAAGCATTTCCAGAGGTAGGGAAAAAACCTAATGATTAACATATAAACCAAAATGATGTATACATTCCGTAACATCTACCCAAAAAAACAAAATTAGGAGTCATACTTGACAGAGACTCGTCTTCTTTTTCTGCATATACAATTGACCGATATCATTATTGAAAAGTAATTTACCTGCGGAGAAGGATGGTATCGCCATAAGGCAAGTTTCCAATCGGAATTTTTGACGGAAACATAGTGTAGCTCATCAGCAGTACATATCGGAGGCTTATTAGTAACCTTCTCGCCAGTGACTGAGATCTCGGACCCCGTTCCATGAGTAGAGAAGGCCCTAATCCTAACGACCGAGGTCAGCCGAAGTGATGGCACCGGAGGAAGACGGCGAAAGGGGAGTTGAAAGCAGAGGCGACGGAGGGCGGTGGATGATGACGATGCCATATGGAGAGGGGAAGGAACATGAACGGCGGTGCTGTTGTGCGATTGGAACTGAATCATCGCCGACGACGCCATATTTGGGGGAAATGGAAAATATGTGACGGAGCAGCGATCATGGATCGCGTGTCATGGAGTCAAAGGGTAGTTGTGGCGGTGGAAGTACAAACACTCAACTCAAATTTAAGATTTTGGATTTCTTTTTCTCTGCAAATATTCTTAAAAATTATATGAACTTTGAATTTAAATAACCTTATGAAATTTTGCAGTAGAGGTTTTTTAAAAGACGATGTTACCCCTGATCAAACGGAGCATTGGTTAGTAAAGTTAAAACGATCCAATCCATAATAGAAAGTGAAATCATGATGAAAAGAAAAAACTAATGAATTATGGTGTTTGGAATGATTAAATTATTTGATAATTTTTGAAACAAATACTTTTTTAGACATTTTAAAGCATGTTAAATAATTTTTTGGATTTTTTAAAATATGTTAGATACGTTCTTATTACTTATACAACTGGTTAATGTGATAATATAATGAAAAAAATCTGGAAAAAAAAAAGTCTATGAACTTTCATATTTTGAAAGATTAAATCCCTAAACATTTTTTGAAAAAAAAAATACTTACATATATAAAATGAAACAAATATAACAAAAAAGTATTTACATTTAAGAAAGAGTATTGATAAATTCTATTTTAATTAAAAATTATAACATCGACTACGATAAAAAATAAAATGAAATATTAAAATTAAGATATATCTCGTTGCATTATGCGAGTACCCTTCTAGTATTATATTATATTATATATATATATATATATATATATATATATATACTAGAAATGTACTCGCGCAATGCAGCGAGACACATCATGATTTTAATATTTTATTTTATTCTTTATCTCAGCTGATGTTATAATATGACTTTATGTGATTTTGAGAAAGCGATGATGTTTTTATTTTTGAATAAAATATATGTTTGAAGATATCATAAAAATTTGACAAAATTATATCGATAATACTATCAAATTAACTATTTGAAATTCCTCATTTTTTTGTGTACTTTTTTAATTCAATTTTTTTATAATTTAATTTATGTACAATAACGAAATAATTTATATTTGGTTTAATAATATAATTTTTTTTATAAAGATAATTATTATTTATTTTGTTGGAACTCGATAATTATTCTAATTATATCTTAGATTTTTTATATTTTAAAATGAGATGTTCATCCTCTATTTGATTACTTTTATCCGCAGTTATTTATACGAATTCAAACATCGAGCTTTAATAAGTTGTACTTATGTATAATTAATTGCAATCTTGAATTTTAAGTACTATGTATCAATTACAATACTTTATGCATAACAAAAATATATCGATATTCATATCAAATTAACTATTTAAAAAATTTCATTTTTT